CCGTTTGGAGCAACCAGCCCAGCCAGCAGTGCAGCGATGCTGACATGGCGGTTGTGTGATACCGCATCAGGCTGGCACTCCCATGGCTTGATCCATAATAGCTCATCTACTCCAAGATAGGCCGGACTTTGGGGGACCAGACGTTTACTCTGCAGTAGCCGAAGCGGGGTTTGGGCCCGAAGCTACGGGTGCAGCCTTCGTCCAGGTGTGGTAGCCCGTGGGTTCCACGTTCGGGGCTGGGTGGACCCGGCGACGGGGGGCGTCGGGCGGTTGTGATTGGGCCATGTGAGAACGACTGGGCATCCACGCGCGAGGTTCATGGCGAGCCACGGCAGGGCGGCAGGATGGGCGTGCATGAGGTGCCGTGGTCGTGTGAATGGGATGTTGGAGGCGGGCTGGCGTGGGATCGTCGCGGACTGAGTGGACAAGAAGGACCCGATGAGGATAGCCCCGCCCTTCATCGGTCAGACGTTCGGTCTATGGATGGAGAGGTTGGGGGGGTTGAGGGAAGGGAACGTGGGAGTGGGTGGGTAGAGCCGGTCTGGAATGTGCAGATTATCGGGTGGTTTTTTTTTTCGATGGTCTGCATTTCGGGTACCATGTTGTGAAGAACATGTGTGTGAAGAATGGTATCGGAAACTGCACGCTTGGAATAGCCGACCAGTAGACTTACGAAGGCGACGGTGCGGCCTTTGCTGTCATGGTCTGGTTGGCGGTGCCATGTGAATTGGTGTCTGCATGACAGTATGTAGGACGACAGAGAGGGAAATCTGCTTGTGATGGCGCTTGGCAGCGGCACCCGCGCGAAACAGAGTTTGTACCATCCCACACCCGACTCTTCAGGTGATGCGCCCGGCCACCCCGTATTGGCCAGACAAGGGACTAGCAATTGGGCCGAATGAGGGTCCGTTCTACTTAGGCAGACCCGGCGGCGGAAAAAGATAGAAACCACAAGAAGTGAGAGATAATAGCTGAAGAGCTGAAGAAAACCAAAAGAGACAACTTGAAGCCAGATGACCTAGTCATCAAGAACAATCGTCATGGTGGAAGACGAATGCCTCAGCTGTCGTCTTGATCGTCGACGGCAACTCAGAGAGTGGTCTCACCAGTCAGACTATAGCCTCTCCGACTAAAACTTCAGCCGTGCGTGAGCGTCGTCGATTCAGTGCCATGGGGGCGACAGCAAAAGAACCTTGCCCGAAGAAGAATCCCGGTAAAAAGCTCATATCGCAGATTCAGTTAACCAAAATGAGAGAAAGCTGTTAGCTAAACAGCGTGGGTTGCCCAATCATACAGACTGGCCGCCGGCGACGGGGACCGCTCACGAAGGAGCAGTTTGCCCGATCAGCTGATACGTCCGGTGTCCAAGGTGAGAGGACAGACAAGGGGGAGAAGAGCAGGATGTGAGAAGAGGAGACAAATGAGAGATTTGTGCCGTTGTGGCTCATTACCGTGGGGGGTCGTGAGTCTTTTGCCGCAGCGCGAGAGCCGATTCCCGAGGATCAAGGCAAACATCGGCCATGAGAAGAGACAAGGAGCAGAGTCGTAGGGCGTAGGGGGTTCAGGCGTCTCCCACTTCCTCTTCGTATTCCTGTTTCCCTCTTCTCTCAGTCTTCTCAAGTTGAGTATCTCGTCGTGTTCATCGGGCTGCATCGGTCGCTGTGTCGGGAAAAGTCGAACCCAGAGGGCTTACTAGTTGTCAGTAGAAGAGTCGACAGAACAAGTCTGTCGGGCGGAAACACCAGGACGAGTGGTCCCTTTTATGTGCTCAACTCATATCTGCCTCCAGGGGCCTCAAATGGCGGTGGAAGGGAGAAGCGGCATTCCTCAAGCGGCGGGGATGCAACGGATGCGAGCTGTGCTGGCCGATGGAAAATTGTCTCATCAACCCAACGGCCCTTCAGCATCCGCGCCCCGTCGCTGATGAACAGTCCAAGCCCTGGCCCGCCTGACCAAAACCATGGTTGAGATAGGTGCGCTGGCTATCTTGCGCAAGTTTTGCAGCATCGCGACCGGTGGTTGGTGAGGGAGATGGCGGATGATTTTGTGTGAGGAGGGTGGCCATCAAGGTTGGCCATCCGGGTTCTTGAAACCTCCATTCCTTGGGCTGTTATCAATGCAACCATCAAGGTCCTCAGTCTCCTTTCGGGGTGATCATCAACAATTGACATGCTTGAAAGAGCAGACTGACTTCCTATTTTAAACTTTAAATGGTTCGAGTGATTCTTGTCGATTGAGATAATCGAGTCTTTGAATTACTTGAAGGCATAAGACTGTATTTGGTTGTGCTGCTGTGTGTTTGGGAATGAAGTGAGACTCAACATTCGTGCATCAATGACCCCCTATCAAATCCATTCTGCCGGATGTTGTACCATTAGCTAATTTCTTCGAAAACAGCAAGAAGTGCTCAACGGGACGCGAATATCCTCGATCGAAGCTTCCCTGAGTCTTCTGGCTTGGTGCATGACAGTCTTGACTGGACACTATCAGGCTGCGAGGTGATGTTTAGACTCCATGTCTTGATCGCATTGGACACCGGAACAGACTCAAGGTTTCTGTGGTTCCCCCACCTCTTCATCTTATTCAGACACGATGTTGATGTGGTGCAAAGTCCTCCATCAAGTTACTTGGTCGACCGAGATCGGCGAGATTCGACCGACGAAGCGGCTCTTGTTCCTGCGCACATGTTGCTGGCGATTCCGACCTACAACAAACAATAATTCGGTGGTGATTGGGACCAAGTGCAGTCTGCCGACAAGTGCCGGTTGACAACTCGGACCGAGTGGGATAGTGCCCTCTTCGTCGCTTTTTCTTCAAGTTCTACCACTGCTCTCGGAGTGATGCGAAGTGTCGCAAACGATTCGATGTCGCTCAAAATCATATGAACCACTGAGAACACCTGCTCAGCAACCCAAGTGGCCGTCGAGGATATCAACTCTTCAAGAGGTCTATCGCTGCGTGACCTGGCGGGCATCGCGCCAAGGACCCCATAATGGCGCCATCTGGGGCTACCTCACCTACGAGATCGTGACCCCGATCCAGATCCGATCGGACGCAAGGACCCCAGACCCCGCTCCATCAGTGGCCTCCGCCGGGCCTTTCGCGCGGGCCGTTCCGCCTTTGAGCTATCTGGGCAGAACGTTGGCTCGGAGGGGTGATCCATGAGGGGTACGATCCCCGGGTGGTTGGGCTGCAGGAAGCCGTTCTGTAACCATGTTGTCGGGAGCGGTGTGCGCGACGTGGGGTATTCCCATGTCGCCCGGTTGTTCAGTGGAAGCACGAGACTGTCCAAGACGATGCTTACGATGTCGCTGGCATGAGCCCCGGTGTTAGCACTCTGGCTTACGAGGTGTCAAACATGCTACCGCTGGTCAACATCCAGGCCTGCTTCTTTCCTCCGAGAGCTGCAAGGAGGACATTGGCGGTACAGAACGCTTGTCCTAGAAGCAAGCAATGTCATATTCAAGGTTACCAGTCTTCGTGGCTCATCGTCCGTATTTGCGCCAGTGATCGAGGTTCTGAAGATGGAATGACCAACACATCTGGGCTCTTTCAAGCTTTCGCGAGATATTTCGGTCACTCTAGTTCGTGGTAGTGTCCTTGGAATCACGAATAATGATGGGAAGCAAGTGCATCAACCCAGAAAGGAAGGTCAGATTAGCGTAGTGCGACCTTCCCAGATCGCAGTATGCATGACCGACATAAACGGCCCTGCCGTGACCATCAACTACCAGCCTGCGCCTGTTTCGGCTCAGACGTGGACAACAAATACGCCATCCTTTAAGCTGGCTAGCCTGCGTTCTCTATGTTCCATGGTTTGTATCATTCGCATGTAGGCTCATCTGCATCCCTGTTGCCAGAGTTTCAACCTCGACCTTGCGGATGCCATTCCCGTGAGTCAATAAATTAGTAATACCTTTCAGATAATGGAGGTCTGACGTTCACTCCCTCTAGAGTAGACATTGTTATACCTCTTCTGTATAGCCATAACGTCGTTCTCAACCTCGTCATGGTCAATTTCGTAGACATACTTGGAGTCTCTGTGGTTCTTGCCGCCCTCTAAGGCGACTGAGCTCCCGCCACCTCAGAGGCTTCAAAAAAAACCGGCAGGTATCGTTTTCGTGCTTCCCTTTCTCGTTTGGCTGGGCCTAACAAGGAGGCCTCGGTTGGCGTTGGAGTGACAGCGGATGTCTTCTCAGCATGGGGTGGCAACGCTTCCCGCCGATAGGCGAATAATGAAAAGTGCGAAGGAGGAGGATGTGACCATCTTCCGAGCTATTATGGCACTTGTGAGCTGTCAAATGGCTGCGATCTCTGTGCCTAAAAGTGCCAATCGCGATGTGTTCTCCGCTAGTTTCAACTTGTCAAGTTGATGAACCCCTCGAGAGAAAGGTCCTATTCTATGGGTTCTCCTTAAGTGATCTCTTAAAAACTGTCGCCATGATGATGGAGCGCGCATCTGAAGACCTGGGCCCGACCCCATCTGCGTTTCATTTTGGATGATCTGTCGGCGCAATTGTCGATCTGTGTGGCTTGGTCAACATCGTCCAAATTGCCCGGCGGGCGCCCACTATCTATTGTCTTGGCCGTATCCACTCATGAATGGCGGTGCAATACAGCCAGTGGAAGTCTCTGATATGATTCGTTGCGACTGGCGTGATTGACTGCTTGTTGGTTCGTCTCAAGGCGTACTGCAGGCGAACAGCCTGGTATATGCCAACCTCAAGGCATACCGCAGGGTCTTTTGTCCTTAGGCGTCCTCGAGCCAGGTACCAGGTGCATCCACCTCATTACACGCCATCATCAAATATTGCGAGGCCCACCGTCAGTATGAAAACACATGATACGAGCAAACGCTCGCACACAGCTCGTCTTGTTATCGTGCCGCTCTCAGTCATATTCCACGCAGAACCTATTCAAAATACCCAGATGTAGGTATTGACTGAAGATTTCTCTCTTGAGCATTTCAATAAACGTGTTCAGCAAGAGATTGAACTACAATGTGGCAACCACCACCGATGCCTGTACCCGCCTCCGCTTCCTGGGGCCTGACCATCAGTCACGCCGATTTCGAGAAACTCAAGGCTGGTCTCGAGCCTCTAAACCAGGACGACAAGTGGCGCTATAAGGCTACAAATGACGAAGAGAACGGTACCGTTGTCATTCACATCATTCGAGTCGGCATGGGGCACGAGCTCTACTCAATCGTCATCAAAGCGGACAACAATGGCAACAGTAGCGAGAATAATATCATCGAGACCATTCACTGGTCGCAGGATCAGGGTGGAAACCCAATCTCAGAGGTGTTGGCCAAGAAGCAAGTGGTGATTCTCAGCAGATGCAACCTGGAATGCGATTTTGAAGCGGCTCCCGACTATGACTCCGAGGACTTTTTTGATGAGCCTGCGATGAACATTGTCAATCATATCAAAAATCGGGCGAATGGCATAAATGGTATCAATAGCACATGATAAAAACATCTTCACCGTTACGGACTCGTACATGTACGGACGATGGGCGCGTTCATGCTGTTCAATCAGGTGTTATAGTAAAGTAAACAGTTTCTTGAAAGATCAGGCGCCGTTAGAATCAAATCAACTTCGTAGAATACTGGCAGTTGTAATTCAATTCTACTATTAATTTCTCGGCCCCCGACTTCTGGGGCGCTGAAGTCCCCCTTCTTAACTCACCTTAAGTATTATACTCGCGGAGCACAACAGAAGACTGGCCAAACATCGTCTCATGATTGATAGTTGAGGCTTGGTATTGTCCCAGCATATCTTGGCTGGAAACTACATGGCGGAAGTTGATTCGTTCAGAAGATAGCATCATAGAGTCAGCCTGCAGAATATTGTTACACACAGGTGGGCGCAGCAGGTCACGTTCGCAAGTTCCCCCTCGTTGACCCGTCGACTGTTCTACCCGCAGCCTGATTTTAAGGAGGAACTCTGGCAAGGGGCTTATTATGCCTGGCCCCTCCCTTCGTGTTGTGAAGCGGACGCATCGATTCCTTCGTAGTTGTTGTTCGCCTAGGTCAGCCCTATATCAATCTCCCTAACATTGGAGCACAATCATATGCAATCCCTACAAGTACACTGTTGGCTGGATATGCGCCCTCCCTCTCGAGTTCACCGCGGCTAAAGCCTTTCTGGAAGATAAACACGAAGGTCCTCACGCCGTCGCGAGACATGACGACAATAATTACGCCCTCGGGAGGATGGGGACGCATAACGTCGTGATTGCTGTGCTGCCTGATGGAGAGTATGGCACAACTTCTGCTGCGAACGTAGCTCGAAACATGCTTCATAGCTTTCCTAATGTGCGAATCGGCCTCATGGTTGGCATTGGTGGCGGCGCCCCTAGCTCGACACACGATGTGCACCTTGGCGATGTAGTGGTCAGCCATGGTGAGGGAGGCAGAGGAGGCGTTTTCCAGTATGATTTTGGGAAAGCTACGCAGAGTCAGATTTTCTCTTTCGAGCACACCAGCTTCCTCAACCAACCACCGACAGTCTTGCGAACAGCCGTCAACGCGCTACAAAGTCAGTACGAAATGGAGGGTCATCAGCTGAATGCCCGTATCAACAAGGCGCTTGAGGATTATCCTCGAATTCGAAACAAGTATTCAAGAACTTCTATCGATAGCTACAGACTCTACAGATCCGATTTTGTTCATCCAGACTCGGGCGAATGCGAGAACGTGTGTGGAGACAGTACAGATCAGCTGGTAAATCGCAAGGCAAGGGAAAATTATGAAGATGATCCCTTCATTCATTACGGACTAATTGCAAGCGCGAACCAGCTGATGAAAAATGCTGCTACCCGAGATAAGCTAGAATCGGATCATGGCATCAAATGCTTCGAAATGCAGGCTGCCGGTTTAATGAATCATTTCCCCTGCATAGTGGTTCGCGGGATATGTGATTACTCCGACTCCCACAAGAACCAACGATGGCAAGGGTTTGCTGCTATAAGAGCGGCAGCATATGCCTCAGACCTTCTGCGCCAGATTCACGCTACCAGGGTGGATTCTGAAGATCGCATCGTTGATGTACTCGGCCCAAGTTAGTCGATTGTCTTCTTTAGAGCAAAGACTTTCTAACACTAAATAGTGCTTAATAACATCAAGTGCATCGACAAAGATGTGAAACACGTCCGGAATAAGTTGGCGGCCATAAGAGATGATCAGCTGTTCGAGAAGGCACGGAAATGGCTAGCACCACCAGGCATCTCAAGCAATATTGCCGCTGCGCGAAAACAACGACACGGGACCACCGGAGCGTGGTTCTTTCGGAGCGATACAATGAACGACTGTATATTGAAGAAGCGTCATCACTTGTGGCTCCGCGGTTTGGCTGGATGTGGGAAGACAGTCCTCAGCACGACCATCTTCGATCATCTCCAAGAACTAGGTACCCACCCGACTTTGATTTTCTTCGACTTCAAAGACAACCAAAAGCGATCTTTAGAGAATCTTCTTTGCTCATTAGCATGGCAAATGTACCACATTGGTGATAAGGCCCGGCAGGTCCTGGATAACGACAGAGCATTGTGTCCGGTTCAAGGACGACCGACTTTACGTTATCTGTCTTCCTGTGTCTATGGCATGCTGGGCTGCTATCATCGAGTGAGAGTCATCATACATGCACTTGATGAGTGCACTACAAAGCGCAACCTTCTCTCATGGATGGAAGAACTGGTATCGGGTCCATGCAGCGCCAATAGCCAGTTGATTGTAACTGGACGCCCAGAGGTGGACTTTGTGCAAAGTCTTCCACGCTTCTTGGGAGAGAATAACTGCATCAAGTTCGATACGACAGACGTCAACACCGACGTACATTCATATGTCTCAGCACAGTTGGAAAAACCTGGTTTTAAGGTCAAAAGGATTTCTCCAAACCTAATTAATGAGATCCGTGACAAAGTTGGGACAAGAGCCGATAGGATGTAAGTATACATCTCCAATACATTTGCGCCAAGCGATTTTCAAACGCGATGAACAGGTTCAGATGGGCGTCATGCCAACTGGACAATCCAGCCCTGTGCCTGTCTGCTCGGGCCATAAGAACGGCCCTCAGAGATCTGCCCCGAGACTTAATGAGACATATAGTCGTATGATCGAAAGCATTCCCGCAGAGATAAAATTCGATGGAATTCGCCTGCTACAATTCCTCGTCTATTGTGAGAGGCCGTTAACAGTTGCGGCGGCAATGCATGTTATAGCCACCCGGATCGACACAGGAAACCCTTTTTTTGATATCGAAGGCCGGCTTTATGAAGATCAAGACCTCCTGCGCTTCTGTCCTGGACTTATTTTGATTGGAGAAGACTCGACAAGTTGAATATCGGCAAATGGTGAGAAGCATCGCAAAGTCGTCCAGCTTGCTCACTTCTCAGTCAAAGAGTACCTCCAAATCAGACACGAATTCGAACTCCCAGTAGCCGGCCTTTCCTTGGCTAAAACCATGCTTGGTATATCTTGAACAGGCCTTTGAAAACCTCAGTTTGAAGGTTACGAAAGCTGAACGTCCACTTGCAGTTGATGCAGTCGACATGCTGCTAGAATATTCTAAGTTTGCCGAGCCTCACAAATCATTTCTCCGCAGAATGCTCTCATTCCTGCGACAAGAACGCATGTTCTATCAATTCTGTTGTCTGGCATGGCCGGAAAATCACAGATACTATGCTCCTTCGTCCTTATACTTTGCCTGTTGTGCCGGATCACCCAGGACTGCAACCTGGTTGGTCGAGGATGAAATGGATGTCAACACGGTCAACAGTGCTCGCAGGAGTTGTCTGGATGCTTCCTCAGCTCATGACCATGTTGACATCATAAGACTCTTGATTAGCAGAGGCGCCGACGTCAACAGCAACAGCCCCATTCAAACAGCCGTCAGGTCTGGACATGCAGAGGTCGTTCGAGCTTTGGTTGAAGGCGGAGCGGACTTCAACGCCAAAGATGAAGAGGGTTCCAATCCACTTCTAGAACCTGCAGGACGTGGTTATGAAGGAGTTGTGCGGGTACTGGTCGACACTGGTCCAGACCTTCACGTAACAGACAAGACCGATTCCAGCCTTCTACTTAGAGCTGCAAGGGGCGGCTATGAAGAAGTTGTTCGAGTTTTAATCAAGAGTGGAGCTGTCATCAACAAACCATGTGATGATGTCGACGGACTACTTCACGAAGCTGCAAAAGGCGGCCACGCAAGAGTACTTCGAGTTTTGATCGAGAATGGATTAAACGTCAACGCAAGAAATAAGGACGGGCATAGCCCCCTTCACTCAGCCGTCCGACATGGACATCAAGTCGTCGTCCGAATCCTGGTCGAGAATGGGGCGGACGTCAATGCAAGCGACATTTATAAAAGCATAGCGTTGGAAGAGGCTTCGCAAAAGGGCCATTTGGAGATTGTAGAATTTCTGCTTGGAGCAGGTGCCAGAATCCATGGCGAAAAGGGCAACCCTCGCGGATTCGTGAACTCGATCTCCCTCAGTAAGAATGAGGATATCCACAAGCTTCTCATTGAAAAGGGTCTATATTTGGGCTCGGAAAGAGGTGATGTGTGGGAGGTTGAACGGCATCTGGGCTATGTAGCCGATATCGATCCACATGGTTCTTCTGTCTGGTACAACGAAGCTGTCCGAGTTGCCACCGAGAAAGGCCATAAGCAGATCATCCGACTTTTTCAACTCAGGAGACTATTCCAAGCGTCGGCAAGGGGGCATGTTAACATTGTGAGAGCGCTACTCGACGAGGGTGTCAGTGTTGAAGCAAGAGATACTGGTGGATGTTATGAAAGCGCGCTGGAAGCAGCTGCCTTTGGCAACCACAGGGACGCTGTTGAACTGTTGCTGAAAAACGGTGCGTGCGTCAAGCAAGATAACAAGTGGCTCATTGGGTATTTGGAGAGATTTTATGATATCAGGGAGTCCAAGGCAATCACATAATGTAGCACGTGAAATCAAATAGGGATACTTGGAGATTGCGTTCAGTCTCTTAAGTTTACAGCAATGGTCGTTGGTTCAGTCCTTGTGACTTGGGGCTGTCATCATCCTGAGTGGCTAAATATCCTTTCCTATTGGCGGGCTTATACCGTGATGCAACGAATGGTGCTTGGACTGAGAAGAACCGACAGATATCTGATGACGCACACTGCCCAGACTTCAGTGAAATCGCACAGGAAGCATCTAATGACAGATATATGTCCTTACACATGCATTCTTGACGGGTGTCCTAGGCTAGAGAGACTATATGTTACACGGTAAGAGTGGATCAGGCATATGGAGAAAGAGCATCAGTAATGCTGGTAATGTCCTGCGTGCTTACGTCTAAGCAAGCCTCTAGTCGTCTTTCCCTCTATTGAGACTTTTGTTAATCACCTGCAGCATTGTCACTGCGGGGACATTAATTAAGAGCAATACTTGATGATAGTGAAAGAGGCAGCGCTACTTATTAATTAAGCCTAATTAA